AGGTGCGAGCCAACAATTCAGAACTGAGCTTCCTGCTTCTCCTGTCCCTGAAGCTGTGCTTCCTGTGCTCACTGGTCTTCATTGGTCGTCCATCAGTCTGGTCTTGTCGGTTCCAACAGGCAGCTTTTGGGATCAGCTTTGTACTTTGTGTTTCCTGCCTGCTGGTCAAAACCGTAGTAGTTCTTGCTGTTTTCCGCTCAGCTCGGCCTGGTGCTGGAGCCTTGATGAAGTGGTTTGGTCCAGGACAACAGAGAGGAAGCGTCTGCCTCTTTACATCTATACAGGTGTGAATATTGTTTTGTTGATTCAATGATGAGAACATTTCTTCACTTGATATAAAAAATGATAACACTGACATGTGTTTACTTTTCATCCAGATTATCATCTGTGTGACATGGCTGTCCCTCAGCCCCCCTGTGCCACAACGTGATCTAGGTTTCCAAGGGTCAACGGTCACCTTGGAGTGTGCCATGGCCTCTGTGGTGGGCTTCTCTCTGGTTCTGGGTTACATTGGTCTGCTGGCCTGCACCTGTCTCCTCCTGGCCTTTCTTGCTCGGAAACTCCCTGACAAATTCAACGAGGCCAAACTGATCACCTTCAGCATGCTGATATTCTGTGCTGTCTGGGTGGCCTTTGTCCCTGCTTACATTAGCTCTCCTGGGAAGTATGTTGTTGCTGTGGAGATTTTTGCAATCCTGGCCTCTAGCTATGGTTTACTGCTCTGCATTTTTGCCCCCAAATGTTTCATCATTCTCTTTAGGGCTGAGAAAAACACTAAGAAACACTTGATGGCAAGGTAGTTTTTCTGGCTTGAACATGAGCATATAACTTTGTCTGGTGGAGACAGTAGCCCCGGTATCATGCAACTGTTCATGTAATCATTATGTCAATTCCTTTCATATAAATAATGCTTTGTGTTAATGTGCTAGTATGAAATCAGCAAACCTCTTGCAGCTACACGTAATTATGGCTTTCGTTGGTAACTAAATATTGTTCATACTGTTTAAACATCCATCATCAACCATTAAAGAAAAAACACTTTTAAATTAAAATCTGCTCACTATGTTATTGATATATTTTGCATTAACGTGGTTGGTTGTTCTCTTTTTCTGTGTTTTAAATAAATATACCGTACCTCAACTGAATCTATTCAATTCAATTCAATTTATTTATATAGCCTAACATCACAAATCATAAATGTGCCTTAGGAGGGCTTTCCAATCCATGCAACATATTATGACATCCTGTTCTTGCACCCTTTCAAGAACAGGACAAAAGACTCTGGGGGAAAAAATGGAAGGAACCTCAGGAAAAGCAACTGATGAGGGATCTCTCTCCCAGGATAGATAGAAGTGCAATAGATGTCATGTGATGTCCATATGACAATAATAATAATAATACTAATAGCAGAAATAAAAGAAAAGTACTACCACCAAAAATAACAGCAGCATGGGATATATATATATATATATATATATATATTAGTGCTTGGCAACAATTACAATTTTTAATCGCGATTAATCGCATTGTTATGGCAAAGTTCAATAATGAATTCAAAAGTAGTGTATTGCGCACTTTTATTTTAAAAGTACTGCTATATGAACAAAAGGGCAATAACATTTGGTTTGCAAACACTTTAAACAAATAAGGTGCTTTTTAACAGCAGTATTCCCTTTACACAGCAGCGATCATATTTCTTGCACCATCTGTGCTCAGTGTGTGACTGTATGTGAAACGTTCCACTGCTGTGCAACAGGAATAAAATGTTTCAGCACGTTTCAGCAAAAATGTGTGTCTTCATGACAGTCAGAGCATGTGAATGCAGCTCTACTGTTCATCAATATAATGCTGTAACTCCGAGGTAATTATGGTTACCCAGCGATCAAAGAATAAAGACACTTTACCCACAATTTAGGTGCATTTTCCCACTGATATTTTCTTCAACTCTTACTAACACAGCAGTAATATTACAGCAGTGTGTCTCTGTGTTGTTATCCTTCACTCGTCCACCAGGTGTCCTCAGACTCACCTGTTTACTTGTACCCTCATGAGCCATGCAGAACCTGAACCAGAACCAGAACCAGAACCTGAACCTGAACCTAAACTAGAACCAGAACCTGAAACAGAACCTGAAGTCCTCTGTCAGATATGTATCAGTAATACTCAGTACTAGTACTCACAGCAGAGTAAAAGTACATGATTATTTACTGTCAGTGTAAAAGTTTTCGTTGAATTTCAATTGTAAAAAATCTTTAGCTGAGCTTCTGTTTGTGTTTCAGTTTTACACTCGATGTTTAGAGGAGGACTGAACTGTAAAAAACATGAGAATTCACCTTTTAAACTTTCATTTTCTTTGAAGAAATCTGACAATAAAATTAAAAACTACTTGTTTCAAATATTTTCTCAAATCAAGTTTGATTTGTTCTAATTCATACTTGATCTTTTTAAACTGGTCGTGTTTGTGATGTTTAAATGTAGCAACTACCCAGGTACTCCATATTCCTGCAGTACACCACACAGTCCTCCAAGTCCACATGAAGTGGAAACGGATGGTTTCAGATTCACTACTGAACTACTGCTTCTCTATTTACGCTTAAACAACAATTAAAATGTGTTTAATGTTTTCTTTAATTTCAAGTACTTGATGTAGTTTTATTATTTATTGTAGTTTTATATAATAATGTTAAACATGTTGAACTGTTTAAACATTTTGAACTGTTAATGTTTATTGCACTAATAAATAAACCTTAAAATAATCATCAAAACCTCAGTGCTTCAAATCAAGTAGGTCCAGAAACCAGTAGGGGCGTAACACCGGCCTGTAGTCTGTAGTCACCGACACCAGCTTTTTTTTGGGTACCTTTTTCTCCACGAAGAAACTAGTAAACAGTCTTTTCTATAGCCGAGGGGGGGATCCAACCCTCCGAGGCACGCGAGCGTCTTTGGTCGCCTGCGTTCAAACCTCTAGTCTGGGCCTTTTCTATCGTACTGCGTTGCCTCGCCTCTACCCCCGCCACCCACGAGTTGTTGCCCCGCGGCCTGTTCCGAGGACTGACGGACCTGACGACGGTGTGCGATCGCGGCGGGGCGGTGCGTCCGGGGCCAACGGGAAGCGCCCGCCATTGGGAACCTGAAAACCTAGTGCGGTGCGGCGGCCTCTTCCTTTTAAAATCTACATGAATGCAAGCGTTTTTGATTCAAAAAGAACAGAAACTACAATTTTTAGACGGAGCTCCATGGGGGACCTAGTGCTATTTTTAGAACATGCCTTGCGGGCAACTCGCATGGTCCCTGCGGGCACCGTGTTGGCTACCTCTGCTATAGACTGACTAACGGGTCACGTGGCTATAGACTGACTAACGGGTCACTGTAGACTGACTACGTTTTCATTTGAGAACAATATGGTTATGTTTTGCAAATAGATTTTAAATCTAAAAACACACCTGCTGGGCTTGATATAAGAGAGATGACCAATGAGAAACTGGTTTGAGTTTGAACATGTCAGGTTGTTCTAAAGGTCAGTGGTCTTCATTGAGAGTTCAACTGTTTCACTGTTTCTTTTGTTTCTTGCCTTTTTTTGTTTGGGCTGCTGCTCCTGATCCCACTGCTCCTGGTCCTAGTCCTGGTTCTGGTCCTGCTCCTACTACTGCTCCTACTACTGCTCCTGCTACTGCTCCTCCTACTGCTCCTATTACTGCTCCTGCTAATATTCCTGCTGCTGCACCTACTACTCCTGCTCTACATCCTACTAGTCCTCCTATTACTGCTCCGGTTAATGCTCCTATTAGTGCTCCTACTCCTTCTCTGCCAACTGTATTAAATAAATAAGTTTTAAATTTTTCCCATGCTTTGTCTTTCCAGTCGACCTTCTGGTTCCCTTCTTTATTGGGGAACAGTTTCCTTTCTTTATCTAAGAACATCTCAGCCATCTTGAATATGTCATCAGTGAAGTGTTGTCCACTGTTAGCTGTGACCATCTCATCTACTTTATTCAGGAAGGTTCTAACCTGCTCTCTGTTTCTTTTTACTCTGTTGTCAAACACACAGTATCTACCACCACACAAGGAGACCAGTTTTGACACCTGAGGGTTGGACTGGATCAAATCCTCCACATTCTGGTCTTTCAGCTCGTCTCCATAAGTGAAAAGGACCATGGAGTACCTCAAAGCCTCACTGTTGAACAGTTTTGGAAGCAGCTCAAACAGTTGGATGTCAGCGTTGGTGATTCTGTCTATTTTGACCACAAAGACGAAGGCATGTGGTCCAGGACTGGCTGTTACCGTCATCTTCATGATCTCCAGGTACAGCTGTTTAGGAGTCAGAACTTTATCAGTGAATCCTGGAGTGTCAACCACTGTGACCTTACAACCCTCCACAATGGCTGACTTAGAAACACTCTCAGTACTGACTGAATTAAAGTTACAGGCTGATTTGAACTGATCTGATCCCAGGATGGTGTTGCCTGAGGAACTTTTTCCAGCTCCAGGTAGACCGAGCAGGACGATCCTCCTTTGTTTGGAGACTTCAGCTGGAAGAAAGAAAACATTTAAAAACAGATGAGTTTACCTTCTCATTACTAGTCTGCAACATGGGAACATGTCAGTGAAACATCTCCTAAACAATAAAGAAATGTTTCTGAAACACTTTTAACCCAGAGACATACACATCCAGTGGACATGAGGGGTTAACAGTTTAAAAGGTCAATAGGAGTTTCAGAGCAGCGGCTGGATGGAAGTAGTTCATGTGGTGCAGGAAAATTCTGTGTACCTTTGTTTTCAACATGGAACTCAACCAGTACAAACCTGTTCTGTGTTGGTTTTAACCAACAGAACAGAGTTGATCCAAACAAACTGTGGTCAGTGAGCAAGAACACATAAGGCTAATAACATGGTTGTTGGATTAAGCAACTTCTCGCTTAATCCAACAGTTGTTAACACGTTGTTCAGTTCTGCTAACGTTAGCTACCGTACTTTAGCTTTACCTCTCCTGCTCTCTCTTGCTCGTGTGACGACCCCTCCCTTCCACTAAGGGTCTGTGTCCTGTTTGTCTCTTTCTGTCTTTCAGGTTGTTGCTTATCAGCGGATGGGACACACACACCTGAGCCTGGTGGGAGTGTCAGGTATAAAGACTCAGGTATAGCCGTCCCCCGAGCAGCCGGGAGGCTGGGTGACTGTCCGAAGGAAGCATGTCTGAGCAGAAGCACACGGTTCACCACCAACTAATTCACGTTTCACGACATTGAGTCCTATTTAAAACTGCTGGCTAAGGATAAGCGTAAATACAGTAAGATTGTTATTCACGTTGGCGGTAATGACATGTCTTAGAGACATTTTTAGAGACATGCAACACTTCCCCTGATTGGTGGTTTAAATGTTACTCACTGATTCCGAGGTGGCGTGACTTCATCAGCAGCTCTCTGACTTGTTCCGGTCCTCCATTTACATTGTTGAACACATGATGTCTCCCTTCAAACCTTTCAACAAGTGGTGGAAGTGGACCTTCTGGATCCTCGTTGATGAAATCTTCTACCGACTTGTTGCCTAAGTCATCTCCTCCTGTGAAGAGCAGGTAACACTTGTTGAAGTCCTGATCTCCAACGGCTCTGATAGCTTTGTCCACAGCGTTCTTCTGCTCGATGGTGAAGCGATCTATTTTAACCACCACCAGGAACACACAAGGTCTGGGGGACTTCAGGAGGTCCTGACACCGTGTCTGAACCTCCCTCTCAGATCCTATTATTCCTGGAGTGTCAATCACTGAGATCTGTTTCCCAAACACAGTTTCAGTTACCTCAGAGATTTGTGTTGTCAACGATCTGAAGGATTTTTTTGATTCAAACGCTGGTCGTCCCAGGATGGTGTTTCCTGAAGCACTTTTACCAACGCCTGAGTTTCCCAGAAGGACGATGGTGAGACCTGGATCCATGTTTGAGCGACACAAAACCTGCTGGACAAAACGTGAAAGAAAGAGTCCATCATTAGTGGGAGCAGATCTGTCGGGTGCAGACTGAATGTTGCTGGTGAGTTTTGTGTTTAGTCGTTCTGTACTTTCTTTAACGTGACGGCTGTTCAATTCACAAGCTCATCCATACAAAGTATGAAACAGACATGATGCTCAGGGTGAGGAACAATGTCAGACTAATAGATAGTAGCCCAAATAGCTGAATGCGACAGATTGGTGGTCTCAAGATGTTGTTGTCATGGAGATGTAATAATATATATGATAATGAAATATAAATGATATAAACAGCTGCTCAAAGCAAAGCTGTGAAGTGAAGCCATGGAGTGCTCTTCTTTGTTTTGTTCAGAAGGACGACTTCAAGCAGAAATATCTGAAAGCATGACAGACTAAATACAGTGTCGCCCTCTGGTGGATCAGTGGTGGAAACACAGAACTCTCTTTTACTTCTGGGTTCGCAGCATTAAATAAAAACATGAGCAGCTTTTATCTCTGCTGGTTATCAGTCAGAGTTCACCTGTAGTGTGATGATGAGGTGAATGTTGCACTAAATCAGGTTTATTGTATATTAATGCGATCGCTACATCTAAATGATCCGTCACATGTGACCCTGAGTCTAATGTTTAATGTGTTTGAGATGAAACACAACATTTACTGCTGCTTGATGCAGAGAAAAGAGCTTTTACTTTGTTTCAAACCACATTTGAACTTCAAGAGATAAACTAATTTAATTGATGTTTACATGAAGAATGATTTACATATTTTTTTTATTCTGTGCTGATACATGCTCAGATAACAGTCATACGGGAACAAAATGGAGTCTGACCAGTTCTGATGGAATGTGTTACTTCTCCACCTTTAACAGAGAGACGTATGAAAGGACAAAGAACCAACAGGAAGGACAGAAAAAGAAAAGTGAAACTATGAACTTCAAATATATAAATACAAATATATTCATTAATTTAGACTAAAGGATATTTATGTGTTCATGCTGCAGACAGAAGTCAAGGTTTTATATCAGAAAGTAAACAAGTTTAAATATGAATTATGACATTATAACATCAAGTATTCTATAAAACAAATAAATAAACAAACAGAAAACATACAGACACGGACCTGAGAGCAGCTGCTGTTTGTATCCAGAGTCCAGAGGTACTATTTCCGCACATTTCACAATAAAAACGCTTCACATTCAGCTGCGTCACCTACTGGCCTTCAAAATAAAATCCCCCAATTTGTCTTTTTCTCTCAGATTTGTGATGAAAGTTTGTTCTGATATTTTATTGATTTGTCTCAACAGCAGATTACTTTTTGCTTGGATTTATTCTGAAATGTGTTTGTTGTTTTCATTTTTCTTCTATTTCTGACAGATCTGCTGTCATGTGGAGCTTTATTTTTAGACCGGAAGTAGATGTTATTTTGGGTGAAAGTTTTCCACTTGAGAGTTGAGAGTTGAATGTGTTGATCGCAGCTGAGATGGCGGAGAGAGAAACACCCAGTGGGTTTACTTTGTCTGTTTATTAATATGAATATTAAAGTATTCATGTGATATTGACCTGATTCTACGTCATCATTAGTTAGCGCTGTTGATTTGATTGTTTCTGAATAATGCATTGATTTGTTCTCTGAACAGAAACATGGAGGGGAAGAAAAGGCAGTAAGGCACACCCTCCAGGTCTGAAACACTCTTTAGAGATATAATGTTTGTTTACCAAAGTCTCAGTTTATTAATAATATTAAAGTATTCATGTGAATGTTTCTGACAGGGTTCATTAGTGTAAATGTCGCTATTTATGGATTTATTGTTACTTTCACTTTAGGTGAAGAAAAGATGGCTCAGTTTAACAATGTGTCACTCTGTGATTAAAGCCTATTGATCAGTGATGTGATGAAGCTACACACTAAATATACAGTTATATATATATATATATATATATATATATATATATATATAT